AGGGTTTAGGGTTTAGGGCCTATCGTGAGGTTACTTCACCTTTATCAAGTCGGGGAAGCGACTGCCGCGGCCTGAGAAGCGAGGCTTCGCATCTCGTGGCCACTCTGTATCCTAAACCCTAAACCCTAAACCCTAAACCCTAAACCCCTAAACCGTACAGTCAGCAAGGTCTGAAGCCGCACTGGATGTGTTGCGGTTCTATATACAAAGAATTAGACTGGAAGTGGCGGTGGCTTGAAACTTTCGTGCATTTGAGTGGTGCAGAAACCCTGAACCTAATCCCTAAACGGCCCTAAACCGTGAACCCTGTGCCAGACGTCGCTGCCAGGATGATTGTGGACATCCAGGGCGTCGGGGACCTTTACACAGATCCGGCTATTTGTCATGCATTTCAGTTCGCTCTCCTTGAAGTAAATCCTAGGGGTAATTTTTCCGCGTCTGAATCTGGGTGGTGTCAGAGGCAAGAAAAATCTGTATGTGTATAGTCAGCTGTGCAATTAAGATTCGGAGTGGTTCCGTCCAACAGTTGTGGTCCCACAGTTGGCCGTCAGACAGAATTGCGAGACGTACCGAGCGATGCACAGTTTCGTGCCATGCTGGGCAACGCGATGACGGTGGACGTCATGAAGAGGATGATCGAGATGGTCTGGAAGGCTACCGGCCTGATCGACCCGATTCATTGGGCGATTCACGTGTAAGTCAGGATTTGTTCGTCCTGGATCTGCATTCGTCGCCGCGTTTTGAAGGCTACATGTACGAAAAGTGTCGGGCTATCACCAGGAGCAGAGCTCAGGGCAGCGGCTTCTTTTTGTCCAACTGGCAGCGGCCCTTGTCAACTTCGGACATTATGAAGCTGCAGGTGTTACGGCGCCAATCAGGTGTTGTGATTTCCCTTGAATTTGAAAGCTGACAGTACCATGTCTATGAAGCCGTTACCAAACGCTTTAGGTCTGAAGCTCCAAAGCGCTAAAGTCTAGGCTGAAAAGATAATCTTTTCAACCCACGATAGTTGGGATAGTCGACTTAAAACTTCCCCAAACCCTAAACCTTGGAGACCAAATCACCCTTGAAAGTAGGGGCCCTCTACCCTATACTATGACTCCCTAGATGACATATCAGTCTTACACCCTTTAAAGGTTCTTTTCGCCCTTAAGGAACACTACACCCCAAATCGCAAACCCTAAACCCTAAACCCTAGCGCTAGAGCAGAAAGTCTGAGCCTTGAGGGCGGTTGAGCTGAAGAATCCTTTGTTTTCTGACTTAGCCAATGGGAGAACTATAAACTTTTGGGCCTTACAGATGTTGCCCAGTTGGACCGAGTACCCAAACAACAAGGTTTTAGATCCCAAAATCCATACTCTGAATGGGTTTTAGACCTTGCAACTCTACTATTTGGGCACTTGGACCCTTAGTTTGGTAGCACAACCCCGGTTTAATTCCGAAAGCTTCACTCGCAGTTAGTTTGTAGGAAGCTGTGCAAATTGCTCAGGAACCCTTATGATTCTTATAGCATAGTCTACCCCCCAGTTGTCCAGTGACGGACGCATGTCGTCAGTTTCCTGTCTCTGGCATACGTCCGGACAGACAGTAGGTACCTAGAGGTGTCAATCCTTTGTTCTTGTTATATGACATGTTCGACAAGTACATGTGCGGAAGAAACCTATTCTAATCATCGAGCACCTAAACCCTATAAAGCCCTGTGAATCTCTTATGGAAACCTTCGAAAACCCTTCGAATGGACCCTATGTTACTGGTTAAGGCCCCTGTAGTACTTGGAGGTTCATGGGTAGTTATAAGTGGTGTTATGACTGAGCCCACCAATATGGGTTAGAATTTATACTTGCCTCAACCAATATAGGGGCCTAAATAATTACCAATATTATGTTGGAGTTCTTTATTTAGCTACAGTATAATATACCCCCCAAACCCTCTTCTAATTGTAAAGGCCCCTACATTACCCATGAACCTCCAAGTAGGGATAGCTGCGGAGGTCATCCACTTTCTCCCCAGCAAAGTATCTGGGGCCCTGGCCCGTTGCGAGCTTGGCTTTCCAGGGGCCTGGCTTCGAGTTTCGGCTTTAGGGTTAAGGGTTTAGGGTTGGGGGTTGAAGGGAGATGTTCGCAGATGGCGATCTGCTGCAACCCAAACCCTCCAACTACACAAATAGTCGGGTTTGAGGAGTATGGTATTCGGGACTTAGAAGCCTACTAGTATGTGTGTACTTGGACCTTTGGGGCAAGCAAGCTCAACAAGTTGAAGGCTAACGAGTAGCCAGGCCAACATAATTTTCAGAGAGCCGCACCCCAAAAATGTGGAGGGCCATCTAAGAGGGAAGGAGAGCCTGATGGCCAGCTTCTGATTGATTCCCTTGAAACTCTACACTCATAAACCCTTGCCCCTTAGACCCCAAACTTGGCCCCAAACCCTTAAACGCTTAAACCCCAAACCCTACATGGGGCCGTGGGATGTCGGAGGTGCACTCGTGAGGGTGTTTTGTTCGTGGTTTTTCTGGTAGTATGGATCGGTGCGAGGATGGAGGTGATGGGGCAGAGATGACGTGGGTGGTCATGACTACAAGGCATATCATGGTTAGGGTGATGAGAGCGATTATGGTAATGATTGTGCAGAGAGCTTTCTTACAAGAAGGATCACGGTGATGGTAACTGCTGTTGATGCTGCTGCTCATTACGAGCAGGATATTAAATAGCGGCAGTTTGGTGATGATGATGATGATGAAGAAGAAGATGATGAGGATGATGATGATTATTACTATTATGAAGAAGATGATGATGATTTTGATGATGATGGATACGATGTTGGGGAGTTAGACGAAAATGAGGCGAGCTAGGACAAGATGGCTGCTGATAGTATATGTGATGAGAACGGCACCGATGATGACAGTCGATGATGGTGGTGATCTGAGCATGGTTGCCATTAGACGCATCGACGGCGATTAAGACACCAATCCTGGAAGCTACTCGTCACACCCACATACAGCACTAAGGAGCTGGTGAAGATCGGAAAGCAAGTTCAAGCAACTTAGGGTTAAGGGTTTAGGGTTTATCTCTTGTCGGAACCCTAGACCTCGTACCCTGAACAGCCCCAGGTACCGACGATGCTTTGAATTTTGCCCTCCGTGGTTTCGTCTTCTGGCATGTTACGAAGGGAAGCCTCTCTAATGCGCAAAAGCAGGCGTTCGAAATTTAAGGGCTCAGTTTGCCGGCTCGAGGCACTCTGGCAACAGAAAGGCTCAAGGATTCGTTTTCCGGCTTTCGGGTTTGAGCGTGTTTAATTTGAGGATCAGTTGGTATTCTAGAGTGGGATGCGCATGCATTTGCAGGGTCGCGGTGCTTGATCGGGATTTAGGGTTAAGGAAAAAGTTTAGGGTTTCGGGTTTAGGTTTCAAAGCTGCTCTTAATTTCGTTTTTGGGTATTAAAAAGGGGTGATAACCCTAAACCCTAGAGCCTAAGCCGTTTTAATCTACCAAGATTATTCCTTAGGGTTCCTTATTGTAGTGGTACTATAAAAGAGCCCAAAACCCTATTCTAATTTTAAGGCCCCGGCTTCGGTTGGCAACTCTGGGTCAGATTTGTTTCTTGGGGTATTTGCTTAGCAATGACTGTGGTTGAAGGTGTTCTGACGACGGTGAAGAAGGTGATAAAGGGCTTCCCGGGCTTCCCACCCAGAACCCTCAAACTCAGACGCTACTTCAGAAATTATTCAGGGACTCCGAGTTCCACAACTCGGAACAAAACCAGACAGACGGATGATCTTCTAAACTAGCATACCCCACAACCCGAATGACAAAGGCCTCTATAGTGGAGGGGGTTTATGGTCAAGAGTACTCCCCATGTACTAACTTATGCAAGTACTCTAAACTTAAGGGCCTAGTGCTTCAAATGATCTATGTTTTGGGGCTTCCTTGCACCCATTAAGGAAGGGTTGGTTTGAGGCTGCGCAGCGTAGGAGGGCTTTTCCATCAGTTGTGGGGGCTTTTCCCCGGTTGCCGGAGGAGATGCAGCCAGAGCATCTAGAGGGATTAGGGTTTCAGACAAGGTTTAGGGCTTAGGGTTTAGGGGTTTAATGCAAGGTCTCGGACAGACGGATAGAGCAAGTGACAGCAGTTTGAAAGACCAGGAAGGACAGTTTTTGACTGCTGAGGCCCTATTTCTGTGGAGCCATCGGCGAAACGATATCGACGCTCAGCCGAATGGCTCTGTTTCCGTAGTCCAGAAGTCTATGCATTCAAACCTGGCAAACCCAGAACCTGGCTTCTGGTACCATACTTTATGTTTTGGGGGTGTAGGGTTTAGGGGTCCGGGGTGTAGGCGTTTAGGGTTTTAAAGTTTAGTGTTTAGGGTTGTTTGGGATCTGTTCTGTTCCTTAGCCATTATGAACATCTGTTGTTCGCCCTGGCTATTTCAAAGCCCAAAACCGGTTGGACAAGCCCTAGACCCTTGACAAGCGCAGGCCTCGCGACCAACCCTACTGGAACTCTAAATCCGTAGTCCTTAACCTACAGGTCCAAAGGACCCAAGGGTAAGATACTTGGGTTATGATAGTAGTTTTGTAGCTTAGTATTTGGGAGAGTATATGATTATTCGGTACTTGGACCCATAAGGTCCTCCAAGAAAACGAGGCCCTTCAGAGCCAATTCCAAGAGGTCTGTCTAGAAAGGTTTGGAGAGCCGTAAAGCCTAAACCCTGCCGCATGCATGGTAGCATCAAGCCAACAATCTCTATCCAAAGAGTCCTTCAACTCAGGAGTTTTTGTGTTGCTTTCAAGGTTTAAGGTTTAGGGGTTAGCGAACGCTACTGTCATAGGTATATGGAATATATAATATTCCTCTTCCCCTTTCTGATTACAATGTGCTGTCGTGCACCGTAGTGAAGCACCACCGCAACTGCCCCTATGATCACATGTAGCACTGACTGTAAAGCGTGAAATTAGACGATTCCGTGACTGTGGAACCCTCATAATGAAGGGGACCCTGAAGGTCTGTGCTCGAGACGACACAGACTGAGTGTAAGTGACGCATCCAAGCGGATGCCATGTCCCAGAAGGTCCGAGTACCCAGATAGTGAGATTTTAGATCCCCAAATCCATACTCCTTATCGGCTGTAAACTCAACTTTTCAACTTT